TTCAATGATTCCGCCATGTTCAGTCATGAATTTGTCCACAATACTTTGGGATGCAAAATACACACATATTCTGTTATTTGAGAGTCTTGAAGAATATATAATGTTTTTTGGGTTCACTATTTCTCCTAAAGGTATAAGATATTCTTGTAGTTTGGCTTCCTCCATCGCGGGAAATATTATTGCCTGTTTTTTTGATGGATATCTATGTTGCGTGAGTACGGTGGAATAGCTTCTGTTGATGACTGGTTCTATTTGACAGTTCCTAGAACTCCTGTATTCAGGAATATCTTGATTTGTTCGCGACATCTTTATTTTATAGTCCGCCCCTGTTCCCCCATGCACGGTGCCGTACAGAAAAACAGGTATTGGCCGACTTCGCTTACTGATAAGAGTTCAGAGTTCGATATTTGCAAGAACATACACTTTTTACACCTTTTTTTAGTTTTATCACTCGTAGAATTTATTAGCGGACACTACAACCATTCACGACAGATTGTCAGAGTCGACTCCAATGTTTGTTGTTCCTTCTACTAATTGTTAAGTCCAAGAAATTGATTGAGTTGTCTGCTTCTATTTCAATAGTGAATTTAATGTTTTCATGAATTTTGTTAATATCCCTATGAAAAGTATCTAATTGCCTCTTAGTATCTGTAAAACATACCAAAACGTCATCCACATATCTATGCCAATACAAGAAATTCTTAATCAAAGGGTGTTTAAAGATCGACTTCTCTAGATTATCCATGAAAATTTCTGCAAGTAAGAGGCTTAACGGATTTCCCATAATTAAACCTTTTGAGGAGGAATAAATATTGTTATTGAATTGAAAATAATTTTGTTTGAGACATAACGATAGAAGGTCAATTATTTCTCGTTTTATGACTGGGTTCACTCTATTTTTATCTAATAGTAAAGTAATAGTATGATCAGGAGGTATGCTAGGAAATAGATTCTGCACATCAAAGGATAGTAGTTTTGCGTTGTCTGGTAGAGGTATGTTATCTATTTTATTGATTACGTAATATGAATTCCGTAGAGTGAATTTTGGTTGGAAGTGACAATGGTTCAAGATGATATTGATTAGCTTTTCTGATAATTTCACTGATGGTGCAGTGACAAAAGAAACCACTGGTCTAATTAGATAACTCTGTTTGTGCAGTTTTATGAGTGAATATAATTTAGGCATTTGGGGGTTCATCAATGTTAATTTGAACTTTTCCCTTTCAGTAAAAAGTATGGTTGAATTTTTCAAAAAATCTTTCACTTATCTTTGGAAAGAATTAGTTGGATCACGTTTCAGCATTTCAAAATGTTCTAAATTCAAGAAATCAATGGTTTTGTTGATATAGTCAATTCGGTCAATAGCAACACCGTGTTGCCTTTATCTGCTCTAGTCAATATAACATTCTTTTCGTTTATTTTACTGCGTATTGATTTCACAAGATTCAATTCATTCTTAAAACTACCTTCTTTCAAAAATTCTGCTTTCATGATATGTGACGCGTGGTGTTTGTTATTAATGCTATTCAATGCCCCTTCCTAATGCCATTTCTGTTTAGATCCCCAAAATTTCAAAGTTGTCAGTGCTATTTTCATTTCCAATGTTATATTTGAAACCTTTTTCTATCAACACATTTTCAGGGTCTGTGAACTGGAACTTCGATAAATTTATGAACCTGTCATAAAATTTATGATTCGTGAATTTTTTTCTAATAGGTAGAGATGGTTTCTTTTCTATAAATGAATTTGGTTTTTTCTTCTGAATGCAGTACTTTTTATGAATGATTTGATTAACTTGTTCTCTTACCTCAAAATCTAAAATATCGATATTTTAGGTTGCACGTGATGTTCGCATCTCCAATCAGGCGAGTGACTCTTTTCTGGATAGAATCCAGCAGCTTCAGGGTATGCATGAGAACAATTAAAGTCACCGAAAATGTAAGTTTTGGCATTGGGATGATGGATTTGCAGAAAGTCAATGGTGTTTGCAAATGGAGAGAATGGTGCCCTATATTGTGTATCGCTTGGTGGTCGATAAACGCAGCATATGAATTTGGTGTTCTCCTGTGATATTATTTCGTTGAAGCACCGACTTTGTTTTCAGTGAATGCAAGAATATGTGTCCTTTGATGGTGCAGAAATTGATTTCGAAGTTGCTAGTGGGCCTGTTAGCAACTGCGTTACCAAGCTATGTTNAAACACGGAACTTAAATACTCGCCAAATATGACAAATCTTGTTAAAATCCATGAATTCCAAGTTAACCAACATCTTAAAAATTACTTGAAAGATACTTTATGGAAAGGGCACTTTTATATTAATTATGAAACCAAATGACGGCAACAGCTACTTTAAAGGGGACTTTAGTGTAAAGTCTCCTTTCGGTAAAGTGCACTTTACATATATGAAATCGGCCGTTAATCAGTTATCTTAGGCGTATAAAAGACAGATGCATGAACATCACTACAGTTAGTTACCGCATAATCTATTAGAGTTTTTGCGTTTATTGTAATTCTAATATTCTGCGTCACTATTTGAGCAAAACCATACATATTTAACAAATTTTGTATTTCTCTCTATAAAAAGCATTGTTATGTGCATAATTACTCATATTTCAATGCATATAAAATTTTAAAGGGCACCATTCAAATTTGATATCTCCAAATAAAATTATTCAGTATATCATCATTGAATGAAGTAAATAACAAGATGGTTAGTATGTAGTGATTGAAATAAAATTATATCAAATTCAAACTTACATATGAATAAGTTACATACCTTGAGAAACTTCTATTGGTTCGTCAATCAGAGATACTGTTCTTGATTCTGGCCTATCGGGTATATCTTTCATTCGCAAAACTGGGATTTCCTCTGGTGATATGTCTACAAGTACTTCTTCCCTGGTTGTGTCGAATATTGGTTGTGGAGGTCTAGTAGGTTTAGTATTGAAACTTTCTTGATTGGTCAATTTTTTATAGTTGAATTGTTTTTCTAATGGTTTTCGTAGAGAGCCAGACACTAAAACTTCAAAGATGAAATGATACAAAATAGAACAAAAAACTATCGAACTTATATTTTGTTTTAAATAAAATGTTAGATGTCATTTTTGTTAATTTGAAATGTTATCTATAAAAATTTTGTAACTGTTGAAGATAACCAAAAAAACTAAATAGTCGAAGTCAAAGTATTTTTCGTTCAGTTTGGCATAACCCCAACAAAAAACAATGCCCTTTGCATGGTGTCATGGATGTAATTAGTAGTAGGACTAGATCTGAAAAGATCTATCAGTTATAAAAGGTTCCAACTTCTTTTAATAATAAATAGTGAAAGATCCACAAGAATATGACAATGCCTCGAATGATTTTTGTAAAGATTGTACATATTACTAGATGTCGGTAAAATAAGAAACTAGATTGACAATCACTGAAGGTTTGAGAACATAGGCCGGAATCAAGATTGAAGAGAAGAAAATTCGGATTGGCTATTGTGCGAATGGAACCTGAAATACTAAACATTTCATATGCTTCTGCGGTAGACATAATCAGTATGTTCGTTGACTTCAGGACTTTCATCCTTGCAGTCAGCACACATACTACTGATGTCTGCCACAGTAGCAGACGAAATGTCACCAGCTCAGATTTTGTTCCCTTTAATCATTAAGGGTATCTCTTAGAGTAATGCAAAACAATAATGTTTATATTATGATGAATAATATTATAATGGATAATAATCTTCATGATATTAAGTTGGTAGTACATATTTTCCTGTCAAAAATTAAAGATAATGATTGCTTTAAAACTCTTCAGTACAATTCTCACCAGATTTTGGAGAAGTTTTCCTCCTATCACAAAGTTGAGGTGAAGGTTTGGTTTGTTTTTGTACACGGCACTTTTATATTAATTATGAAACCAAATGACGGCAACAGCTACTTTAAAGGGGACTTTAGTGTAAAGTCTCCTTTCGGTAAAGTGCACTTTACATATATGAAATCGGCCGTTAATCAGTTATCTTAGGCGTATAAAAGACAGATGCATGAACATCACTACAGTTAGTTACCGCATAATCTATTAGAGTTTTTGCGTTTATTGTAATTCTAATATTCTGCGTCACTATTTGAGCAAAACCATACATATTTAACAAATTTTGTATTTCTCTCTATAAAAAGCATTGTTATGTGCATAATTACTCATATTTCAATGCATATAAAATTTTAAAGGGCACCATTCAAATTTGATATCTCCAAATAAAATTATTCAGTATATCATCATTGAATGAAGTAAATAACAAGATGGTTAGTATGTAGTGATTGAAATAAAATTATATCAAATTCAAACTTACATATGAATAAGTTACATACCTTGAGAAACTTCTATTGGTTCGTCAATCAGAGATACTGTTCTTGATTCTGGCCTATCGGGTATATCTTTCATTCGCAAAACTGGGATTTCCTCTGGTGATATGTCTACAAGTACTTCTTCCCTGGTTGTGTCGAATAATGTTTCATGAACGGTTCAGAGTAACTTTATGAAAGCAATAATAATTGTAAAATTCATTTGGCAACAGAGGATACAATTCTCATACACTATGATATTGAAAGTACTATACTCACTAGCTGAATAGTTGAAAGTTGCCTGATCAACTTCCACACCGTGGGAGAGGGGATTTGAATAAATTGAAGTGTTCGAACAGTGAACAGGGTCGTATCTTCTGTTACTCTTGAATTGTCCAAATTCTGAATTAACAACATAGGTTTCAGTCTGAGTTTGTCCCCAATTGGTGTCAGATTGAATGTTTTTGTTATTTTGCTTCAAGTTACCATTGTTGGTAGTTTCAAACCAAATTTTGTTCAACACAGATGTTGTATCATTCTTCTCTGATAATTCAGATGATTTTGCATATCGATCACCTGAAAAATAAAGTTGACTTTTTAGGATGAGTGAAAAATGAGAACATTGCATTCTTACCATTTTGAATTTTTTGTAAAGTTTCCTTATTGTCTTTATTATTTCGATTCACATTTCTAGTGAGCTGTGGAGGAGGATCCAAGGTTGGAATTTCACTATTCTTCTTCCCTAAAAAGTTCTTCTCTAGATCATCCAAAAACTTTCCATCCCCAATTTTCTTGGCAGGAGATTCATTTGACATTATTGGTAACTTATCATCAACTGTCTTCTTAAATGAATCTTTCAACTTCATCAGTGATATACTAGTTTCCAATTCAGTCCCATAAGTTTCTATAGGCGCTGCCACATCTTTTTGCACAACAGTAACAGATTTGGAAACTGCTACTGCTACTTTGGAATCTTTTTCTGAATTGCTGTTCATGAAATTTAGTCCCCTATTTGAAATATCACTTTGAACAAAATTCAGATTTTCTCCGTATCCATTTTTTATTCGGTTAGGACTAGAAATTCCTAATGAATGAACCAACTGTTTATCAATGTTTAATAATGGGGTTTCGATTTTGTCGAGAGAGCAGGTATAGCTTTGTATAGGACTAAGTAATTTTTGAGGATAGCTATACTTACCATGGATTTTATATATAGTTGATGTGTCAAATGGATCATTATCTAGGAGACCGGAAGATGCAAAAGCTGAAGAATTGTAGTAAGAAGGCGGAGAATGATATGGAGGAGGAGCCATTTCTGAACTTTGCCGGGCATCCAAGTCCCAAAATTCGTTTTCTAAAATACACTGTTTATATAGTACTATATACTTGAAATTACTAGTAGTAGAAATAATAATTATAGGATATATCCTAATCTTACAAGATATACTAACTAATAACAATTTGAATTTCCACACAGTGCCAAAAATATTAATAACATTCAAATCTGTGTATAGATAATAACAATAATAAAGATAAAACAGATAAAAGATAATAATAAAAAAGATACACAATTTATAAAAACCAATGTTAAAAACAAATAATGATATAGCAAGCAACACACACATACATATATTCATATTTTCCAACAAATTAACGCTCTAAATATTCTAATAATGTACTTTTAAACCCTCTTACATTATAAAAACCTTTGGTAAAAAGAATAATCGGTTTGAGATCGATAGCCATTGCAGCATATTTAACATGTAAGCAATGGAAGTATAACCACTGCATCTTAAGATTATTCTCATGCCCCTATTTTGGAGTTTTTGAAGTTGGGAAACCCTATTTTGGTTTATTAAATGTATAATAATCTTTTTTTTTTTATAAAAATGTTTCCAATGCTCGCTTGAAGTCAAGAAAGGCAGCTACAGTGTATTTATTCTTATCACACGCATTTTTCCATCTGGAGAAAGTATATTGAATAGCTAATTTACAGGAATGATTTTTTCTAAATCCTGACTGTTAACCTGAGAATAATTCATTATTATCAAAGTATGCAACTAATTGTTCGTAAACTGCTAGTTCGAGGACTTTCTCCAAAATTGGTAAAGTATTTATTGGTATGGAAATAACAGAAGTTATATTCAGTTGATCCGGAAATATTCCTTTATCCAGAGATGTATTTACCAAGTTTAATATCACATACCCAAATACCTCGAATGTTTCTTTTAAAAATTTGCTATAAAGTACTTCAGACTTGTTCTTATTGTCTAAGGAATAAATAATCTTTCGCAGTTCAGTCACGGTTAATAGTTTAAATTTGTGGATGACCATTCCTCATATTGCGGGATACTCTTAGAGATATTTGAAATACTTTTAACAGAGTAATTATTGAAATTCTCAGCTATCTCATGTTCATTTTCACTAATTGTTATTGAATTGTTTTCACAAAAGATGATTTTATTCATTTCATTATTGTTAACCGAATTTTTTATTGATTTAAGATGTTTCCACATTTGTCTTGGATTATTACGATTTGCGTCAATTTATTGTCTATAAAAGTGTTTTTTTAATTTTTAACATATTAACATACTGATTTCTAACAATTTTATAATTTTCCCAGAATTGATCTCGCTGAGGTGAGTTGTAATTATTTTAAAATGTTTTATATGGTGTTTCATTTCTTAGCTTTATTTTTTAATTCCACATCATAGTAAGGTAACTTATTATTTTTTATTGGAACAGTGTGTTCAGGTGCAAGATTATCCATAATTATTTTAGTTTTATCAGATATTTCATTCAGGTTTTTTTTAACATGAATTGAATTCAATAGCCATGTTTGATCAATTAGTTCAATATTTATGTTTGAATATGTCTCAGAAGTAATATTTCTAACAGATTTTTTCAGGAATATTCATATTAGATTTGAAACAACTGACAGATATCATCAACATCAATAATGGAACCTATTTATGCGATATTTCCTAAATATTTTTAATCAATTCTTCCCTAAGAAGAAAGTGTTGATGAAACACAAACAAAATAAAAAACTGGTTGGGTATGATGCTGAACTCACTGAATGTAAAATTAGATTAGATATTCTCGGACAAAGATGCAAAATCTGTAGCAAACGACTATAATAACTTGATAAGTGCAGTCTCCAACTTATTGAAGCAACAACAGGATGAAAAGTTTTCACACAAAATAAAATCAAATGACAAATCAATACTGCCAACACCAACAAATGCAAATGAAATTTTAGAAATTGTTAATAAAATTGAAAGTAAGATGAGTAGTGGACTTTATGAAGTCCCCTCTAAAATTATCAAATTGAGTATATATTGTGAACAATTCTCTAAAATACGGAGTTTTTCCTGACTCGCTAAAGCTAGCATTAGTCGAACCCATATTGAAAAAGGGGATCCCTCTAAACTAGAAAACTTTAGACAAATTAGTCTACTGTTTTAATTGTCAAAAATGTTTGAGGCTGTCTTATGCAAATGGGTGATGAATTTCTTCAGGCAGTGTAATCTTATCACTAAGTGGCAACATGGATATCAGAAAGGGAAATCAACATATACAGAAATTTTTCAGTTCATTCAAAATATCTTTTTACAACTTGAGGACAATAATTTGGCATTGGGATTATTTGTAGACCTGTCAAAAGCTTTTGAGTGATTGAAACACACAGTTCTTATACAAAAGCTGGAATCACATGGCATACGTGGCCCTGCGCAGAAATGGCTTAAATCTGATATATCAGGTAGAAAACAAATGGTGTTAATTAAACAGGAAGGAATCAAAGCTGAATCAGACATAAAATGAATTGATACTGGGGTACCACAAGGTAGTATAATTGGCCCAATGATGTTTATCATTTTTCTAAATAACCTATAGGAGATTTGTGGGGAAAATTGCAAAATGACAAATTATGCGGAAGACACAAACTTGCTGGTCAATGCAGTAGACTATCCCGGTCTGATATCCATAACTGAAGAAATCCTCTGTAATACAGATGAGTGGTTCGGGAGAAACAAACTTATATTGAATGACAATAAGACCAAAACTGAAATTAGGATGCACTGTTTGAAACCTTTGGTGTAGTAATGAATATTACTGGAGTTTTTTCCCAACACCAAATCGTTATTTTTAACACCTCGACACGTGTTTCGATCACCAAGTGATTATGTTCAAAGAGGAAGATTGAGTTTAATATTCCAAATATCACTTGGTGATCAAAACACGTGTCGAGGTGTTAAAAATAACGATTTGGTGTTGGGAAAAAACTCCTGTAATATTCAAAACTGAAATGTTCAAAACAAACCATGCAGGATTTGACTCACCTCAAGAAATTCGACTGACGAATATTTCACTCAAAATAGAAAATGAGTGCAAATTTTTAAGACTGCATATCGACAGCACATCGAGTTTCAACAGTCATATTCAAAATGTTTGTCAAAAGTTGAACTCGGTGTTGTATTCAATGAGAGTTATTAGTCAGTATGTTGACACAGATGTAATCCGAATGGTCTATCATTCAAATTTTGAATCTGTCTGTAGGTATGGGATAATTTTTTATGGAGGTGGTAGAAATACAGAGCAAATTTTTATTGTCTCAAGAACTATGCTGAAACTAAACTCAAGAGAATCATGTAGAGGCAAATTCAATAGTCTTAAAATACTTACACTTATAGGAGTCTATATACAGAAACTCTTGTTATTCCTTTTTAGAAACAAATATCATGTAGAGGCAAAATTCAGTAGTCTTAAAATACTCACACTTATAGGAGTCTATATACAGGAACTCTTGTTATTCCTTTTTAGAAACAAATATCTTTTTGAAAATAGTCTACCACAAAATGTATATAACACTAGAAATTTTGACTATGTATACCCAAAACATAGACTAACTGTTACAGAAAGGAGCCCTACAATGAATAAAATTATACAATAAAACATATGATATTTTGAAAGTGTTACAAACATAATCAAGTGAGGCATAAATAAATAGCATAAACAGAATGGAAAATTTCAGAGAAGCCATGTGTTGAGCGCGTGACTCAGTTGTGACGAGAAACTCGTCTGTGGATCAAAGCAGTGTTCAAGAATATACTTTTTGGTGCTTTTTTTGAACTGATCGAAAGATAGTGATTTGATTCTCTCCGGCAAGCAGTTGTATAGATTGATATTCAGAGAATTATGTTGAGATTTGGTTAATCTATACCTTGGAGTTTTTAATAACTTAGCATACCTAGTATTATGGTCATGTATATCTCACTGGGTTTGTAACTGGTTGATATTTCTGTGTATTTCTAATAAGGAATTGTAGATATATAATGAAGATAAAGGCATGATGCCAAACTTTATAAAGTGTTGGTGACAATGTTCTCTATATCCAACTCCAGCTAAAATTTTAACTGCCTCAAGAGAAATAGAGTACTTGCTAATTTGTTACAGAACTGTTCTATGTGATTCGAATATGTGAATTTGTCATCAATAACAATTCCGAGTAGCTTGACACTATTTCCCATTTGTAAGTTCATATTAGAGGAAAAGGTTATTTTTTGGGATTTGCTTGCGTTCAACTTGAGTTTGTTTGCAGTAAACCAATTTTCAGCACGTTTTTCAATGTTATGAGAAGAATAAGTGAGTTCCATAAGGTTTTTACCGGTATTCATCAAAGTAGTGTCGTCGGCGAATAGAACACTTTTATTGGGTAATAGGAAGTTGCATAGGTCATTTATATAAATGACAAATAAGAATGGCCCGAGCACTGTCCCCTGTGGGACACCATGTTTTATAGGTAGAAAGTCCGAGTTTCTTTGGTTAACACTAACACATTGTTTTCTATTTTCTAATAATGAACTGAATAACTTCAATGCCACCCCTGTAATACCGTAATATTTGAGTCTTAAAATGAGTATCTCATGAGAGACACAGTCAAAGGCCTTTGACAAGTCATATAGTGTAATATACGTGAGTACACCTTGTTCCAAACCCTCAACTATGCCTTCCAATATATTAAGAATTGCAAGAATTGTAGAGCGATTTTGTCGCAACCCATACTGTGCATTATTCAAAAAAAATTTTTTTAAAAATATTTCACTAGTCTATTTTTCAGAATTATTTCGCTGATTTTAGCAAATATGGAAATAATTGTCAATTTCTGTAATATCTCCCTTTTTATGAATAGGAATAACTCTGGTAAATCTGGTAAATTTGAAACTATCTGAAAAAATGCCTTCACTGAAGATCAAATTGATCATTGATGTTAATGGCGCAAGAATTGGATCTGATGTTTGTCTTATGATATTGTAATTTGAATCATGTGTTTCTACAGATTTCGAATTTTTTAATGCATTAATTGCATCAAGAACCACATAGCTTGTGACTCCCGTTAGGAAAAAAGAATTGCATGGCACAGG